AGTGCTTACAAGGTAAGGATTTTGTAGGTGCCTTTTTTATTTGCATAATGAATGGATTTGGGGTTGAAATTGACCATCCTGATTTCAGATCACAAGAAGAACTATTCAGATAGAAGATTCATCTCGTGCTTACCTCATGAAATTCTTTTTGGTCTGTTATGTGCCATAAATGCAGGAGACTCTTGTAATTCAGTGTTTGGATGAGTCTAGAGTTTATTGATGTGAAGAAAAGTCAACATTAAATGAAAGAAGGGCTTTTAAGAAGCCCATTATGACCACTTATAATGGAAAATGTAGTTCCCATTAGAGATTGATTTAAGGAGCTCTGGTTCTTTGGTGAAGCATGAAGGCTGCTCTCTGGTGCTCCGTGCAAATCATTTTTATAGCATCCTTTGCCACTCTCTTCCCGGTTAATCTGTTGGTGCGTCTGGACCTGAAAGGGCTGCATATGTCTTATTTGAGGAATACAAAAATCCCCAGACATTTAAAAGAAATCAAAGATTAGTATATTTTTTGTTTATCAAAGAGAAAACTTTAAAAAAAAAAAAAAAGCTTCGCAAATTTTAAACAGACGGAGCGGCACCAGATGTCCATTCTTGGATCATTTAATCTTTCTCTCTTGTGCTTCTTCTTGTCAATATTTTTCCACTAGAACCAAATATTAGTTTCTAGCTCAGCTTGCAATATAAAAATTTTCCAATTAGATTGTTATGACTTCATTTTTATTCATGAGGAGAAATCTAATAAACAGGGATCATCACATATGGCGGCATGCAGGAGAGGAACTTTAAAATAAACCACCTGGCCCAGGGCAGGGATTCTCCTCTTTTCTGAAGTCGGAGAGAGAGACCGGTTTGCATCTATATCCCTCGCCCCCATGTTATTTATTTATTTATTTATTTATTTGCCTCCAAGTAATTCTTAATTGTTGGTGGGGGGGGGTTCTTAGATTTATATCAGTCTGCCATATAATTGACCTCTCCCCAACCTGGATTAATTCCTCCCTTAGCTTTTATGTGTGTTTACTGTCTAGTTCTGTGTTAGGTATTTAGGGATGTAAAAGGAAATGGTGAAACATGGTGGGTTTTGTTTGACCTGAAGGCGCTTTTGGTTTGTGGCTGAGGAGGCTAAGAGAAGCAGCATGGTCACGCAGCAAATGACTCAGTGCTTCACGCCGAAAAAGCTCCCGAGGGAGAGAGAGGAGAGCACCCAAGTGGTCAGGGAAGGCTTTAGAGCAGAACTGGGCCTTGTGCTAGATCTGGTCAGATGGAGGAGTGTAGTCAAGTCACCTGAAGCTTGAAGAAGGAGTAAGGATTATGGTGTGGAGTCAGTGCGGGGGAGGGTGATGGTGAAGGGACCCCACTGGGTTCAGGCCACAGTGTGAGACTGAGCTCGGGAGAGCTGGACACCACTATCTTTTCTTCTTTCTTTCATCACCCAGCTTCTTCTTCTTCTTTTAATTAACATATAATGTATTATTTGTCCCCGGGGTACAGGTCTGTGAATCATCAGGTTTACACACTTCACAACACTCACCGTAGCACATACCCTCCCCACTGTCCATAACCCACCACTCTCTCCCTGCCCCCCAACCCAGCAACCCTTAGTTTGTTTCGTGAGATTAAGAGTCTCTTATCGTTGTCTCCCTCCCAATCCCATCTTGTTTCATTTTTTCCTTCCCCCCACAACCCTCCGCCCTGCCTCTCAAATTCCTCATATCAGGGAGATCATATGATAATTGTTTTTCTCTGATTGACTTATTTCACTCAGAATAATACCCTCTAGTTCCATTCCCATCATTGCAAATGGCAAGATTTCATTTCTTTTAATAGCTGCGTAGTATTCCATTATATATATACACACCACATCTTCTTCTTTATCCATTCATCTGTTGATGGACATCTAGGTTCTTTCCATAGTTTGGCTATTGTGGACATTGCTGCTATAAACATTCGGGTACACGTGCCCCTTCGGATCACTACATTTGTATCTTTAGGGTAAATACCCAGTAACATCACCTAGCTTCTTGAATGAATGCTCGTTCCTTGAGGCATGGCTTCTACCCCTACCCCTCTCCTGGTGCCGTCCTGTGGGAAGGCTCCAGTGGCCCCTTCCCCCCACATCCGGCTACATTTGCTCTGACCTGCAGACTCTGCTGAGGCTTTGGGTGCTGTTGATTCTAGACTGCTTTTTCTCACTCATTTCCAAATATTTCTGACTCCAAAGGTTATTGAAAGGCATCGAAGCATGCACCAAAGTGGATTTAAATCATTTCTCCACCACAGCTGGTGCTGTGGAACTAGGGAAATTAGGATCTCTCAACCTCCATTTAGTGGAAATAAGGATACTGAACTTATAGTGTGGTTGTAAGGATTAAAAGAGATAACATGTGGATAATATGTTGAAGTAAATAACTTCTGTGTAGGCAGGCATTATGATTGGTTTGCTTTTCTTACCTGGTAGCCAGTCTGTCCTCCTTGTCTGAACGTGTCTTGTTCTTTTTCTGTCCGTACCTACACCCAGCTGATCCGTCTTTCTGGAATTTTCTCTTTCTTCTTTTTACCTATTGAAATCCTCACTGCCCTTAAAGACTTACTTAATCACCTTGATCCAAAGTGAACTTTGTGTCTTCTCTATTCTTACTATCTTTCTTTGGACAACTCCGAGTTACCACCTCACATTTTAGTGTTTGGCACACATCTTATTTTCCCTATTGTGTGATAAAGTCTTTGAGAAAGACACATCAAGCACATCAGGGACTTGGAGGTCAAGCCGTCAGTTCAGACTGTGATCCGTTGTTGCCATGGAGGGCTTTGTGCATAGCTGTCATATTTGCAGGGTGTTACTGTATTTTTGCTTTCTTGCTTGTTTGCTTTTCTTTTCTTTCTTTCTTTTTTTTTTTTCCTGACTTAACCACTACCATATACTGATAATTTCTAAATTTTTTGCCCTAGCCCTCACCATGCTCATGTGCTTTAAATGCAGTCAAGTATCTGATGAGTGTCTCTAGCTGACTATCCCATGGGCACCTTGAAGGCGATGTGTCTAAAACCTGTTCTCTTATCTGTTTCTGCGCCCTGACTCACACCCGGTTTGCCCCTTCATGTTGATGGTGTTCTTCTGTCTGTGGTGTCACTGTCTACCCAGCTCCTATGGCAGAAGCTTGGAGGGCATTCTTCATCTTGCCTTTCTGATGTTGTCCACACTGAATGAGTCACCAGACCTTGACTCATTGGCCTCCTAAGTATTTCTTGAGTGCATCCCCCCTCTTTCTGTGTTGGATACTGCTGCCTAAATGTAGGCCCTCCTCTCTGAACTAGTTTTACTGTAGTTTCTTCCTAACAGATCTATTTCACGCTCACTCAACCCTCTCAAGTCCATCCTTAGTGTGGGTGTATCACAGTCCCTCGTGTAAAACACTTTTGTGATTTCCTTCCATGTACATCAGGGATGAGAAAATTGATCTGATCTCCTGTTGATCAATCCAGTAACGTCTGTAGCAAGTGAGGCACTCTTGCTTAGTTAGTGATGTCTGACGTAGGAGCCACGAAGGGACACGCAGCACATAATGCATAGCTAGGATTAAGATCAAGCTCTTTAGTGGGACATAAATGGCCGGCCATGCCCCTAATCTTGACTATGTCTTCATCCCCACCCCCACCATTGCCCTGCTTCACATTTAATCCTGGAACAGCAGAGAAGTACTGTTCTTCTTGTGTTGTTCATGCTAGACCTGCTTCCCTGTACCCTTAGTAGGAGATCCATACTCATCTTTGCAATCTTGGTGTGCATGGGGAGTCAAGGGGGTGGGCCGTGCATGAGGCTGAGAGTGCTTCCTTTGGATGCTCCTGGCACTGGTGTCTCCTCCATAGTGGTCAGTATCCCATGCTGTGAAACCGTAAGCATCTCCCTTGTAAGGCAGTAAACTCTGTTAGGGCAAATATCATGGCTTATTTATCTTTGGCCTCTGGTACTGGTCAGACATTACCTTCCATGGAATGTGTATTGTGAATTAAATTGTTCTTCGAAGGCGCACTTGGCTGGCTTAGTAGAGCATGTGGCTCTTGACCTTGGGGTTGGGGACTTGAGCCCCACACTGGGTATAGCAATTGCTTTAAAGTCTTTAAAAAAAAAAAAATCATTCATTGAATTGAAATAGCAAATAGTTTTGATTGATGAACGTTCTTTGCTTTTACTTTGATACTCCTCAGAATGAGAGGATAGATTTTAGGGAAGATTAATGCTTTGCAGAAAATTTAGGTTAGTGAATCAGGCAGAAAGTAGACATTGGAAAATTTTGAGCAGGGCTGTGGCATGATGAAAGTGATATTTAAGGAAGGTTGATCTGGAGACAACCTTTTATTACAGGTTTAAGGCACTCCTGGGAAGCCTAGGTGAGGGTAGCAGGGTGGGGAGAGGGAGAGGCGAGACAAGCATAAAGCCATTTTGAAGAAGAGTTTCCGGAGGCTTTGTATTTTCATTTCCTCATTTGCTCAAGTGGGATGTAGTCACTGGCATGTTCCCGAAAATAAAATGGGACACTGATGTTATTTTTAAAGAAAGAACATTCTTGTAAAACACCTAAGTAATCCATTTTTCATAATTATGTATGAGACCTGTTCATGATCAATTACCTATAAAGTGGTTATGAGTTCATAAATTTAAAAAAAATTAGCTCTTCTGCATAGATAGCCTAAAATCTTCAAAAATCAGTGATTTTCATTTTAGCACATTTTGAAATAATTGTTAATTGTGAGGAAAATACTTCAGTTTTCTTTTCCAGCTACCTTTTAGTTTAACACTTCCATCCTGATGGTAGGTTTTAATCCCCCCCACACTGTGAACATTTGCATTTCGTGTGTTACTCATGTGACCTCGTTTACTGGTTCAAATTTATCTTCCGTTTGCGGTGGGCCATGTAGTTCCACTCCACTTTATTCTTCATCTCGGCTATTATAAACTTCATAATTTACAGTCACTTTGTTGTTTTTTTATTGCAGGGTTATGACTCACTGATAAAAAAGAAGGACTTCTCCAAATACTTCGCGTTGTGATTGTGTATGATGGATACCAAGGAAGAGAAGAAGGAACGGAAACAAAGTTATTTTGCGCGGTAAGCGTTGCTTTACAAAATTATCATGAATATTTAAATGTTTGAGGAGGGACTTTGTCCTCAAGTGTAAGTTGGCAGTCTGTGTTTGGTGAGTGTTTGTAAAGAAAACAGGTGTCCAATAGGAGTTAAGTGTACTTTGTTTTCATCTTTTTTCTTGCTTGCAGTAGAGGAAGAACATTCGGTGCTTGTCTTTCCATATTTGACGGTTATCCCGGGCCGATCATTACGCACTAAGCTGCATGTTGCTTGGGACCCCGCATTTAGCAACCTACATGAAATCTTAGATCCTAAATGCTTCATTCCTGCTGCTCTAGTAGCTTACCTGGTTTAGCTGTAACTAAAAGTCTATGACCTATTTAAAGCTTATTATCTTGTTGGAAGTCCGTTCCTGAAAAGTATTTTTATAGTTAGGTGGAATAGATGAAATTCTGCCATTGGAGTTCGTGTCATTACTAACGCTGAACTCATGCAACATACATGCAGTTCTTGGTTTGTGAATAGATGTAATCTAGTAGATGATCAGTTACTCTCCACAGATTGAGCCGTATATTGGGCAACTACTCATCACAATAAAGTGTATGAAATGCTAAAACATTTACCATTTTGATAGAGTGTTTTCAAACTCAGAGTGAGAACACATAGGCTTAAAATTATCATTATGGTCTCCTAAATCGAATCATTTCTTAAGAACTGAATTCAGCCTCACCACATTCCCAGTCTGTGCTTGTTAAAAAATGCAATTATCATATGGTTTCACTCCTATGTGGAACATAAGCAGTAACACAGGGGACCATAGGGCAAGGGAGGGAAATCTGAAGGGGGAGAAATCAGAGAGGGAGATGGACCATGAGAGACTATGGACTCTGGGAAACAAACTGAGGGTTTCAGAGGGGAGGGGGGGATGGGGGGCCAGGGTAGCAGGGTGATGGGTATTGAGGAGGGTGCGTGTTGTGACGACCACTGGGTGTTATGCATAACTGATGAATCATTGAACACTACATCAAAATCTAATGATGTACTATGCAGTGGCTAACAACATAATTTTAAAAAATCAGTATGTTGTATACCTGAAACTTAAACAATATTATATGTCAAATTTATGTCAATAAAAAACAAGGCCCCACCAAGAAAAAAAAAGATGCTTTTCTTGTTTTCCAAATGTAAGCCTTTGAAATTGAAAACCAAAAATTTTTGTTGATTTTTTTTTTATCCGGAAATAAAGCTAGGTTTTAGATTATTAATAGGAAAAGGAAAGAAATAAACTTTTAAGGAACTACTATGTGTAAAGTTCTTTACTTATTATTTTATTTATCTTCACAATAAACCTAACCTACATTTCCCCTTATTTTACCAGTGAGGTAATTAAGACCCAGAAAGCATTTGGCCCATTCCATGCAGCATAAAAGTCAGTATTCAAATATTGGCGTGCCCCAGTGAGTAATAGTAAACTGTGAGTGAGAGTTTTTGGAAAGCGAGAGTTAAACAAGTTATTGTAGTGTGATGTTTTCCACTACTAAGACTGCAGAGTCGGGGCGCCTGGGTGGCTCAGTGGGTTAAGCCTCTGCCTTTGGCTCAGGTCATGATCCCAGGATCCTGGGATCGAGCCCCGCATCAGGCTCTCTGCTTAGCAGGGAGCCTGCTTCCCCCTCTCTCTCTACCTGCCTCTCTGCCTACTTGTGATCTCTCTCTGCCAAATAAATAAATAAATAAAATCTTAAAAAAAAAAAAAAAGACTACAGAGTAGCAAGCTTGGGGAAGGAAGAAATCAGGCATCTAATGGGTGGAACATTAGACAGAAGGCACTGTGAATAAATAAGGACCATATAGTGATGTTTAAAAACACTTTATTTTGAGATAGTTACAGATTCACATAGAGTTGTAAGACATATTACGGACAGCTACCCCGCACCCTTCATCCAGTTTCCCACAATGGGAGCCCCTTATGTAACTGTCCTGTAATATGGCCACTAAGAAGTTGATATGGATGCAATCCACTAACCTTACTCAGATTTCACCAGGGTTACAAGAATTCATTTGTGTATTTGTGTGTATCTAGTTCTGTGTAATCACATCACGTGTACAGAGTTGTGTGGCCATATCAAGATAGAGTTACAGATGAGACAGGTCTCTTGGGCTACCCTCCTGTAGCGGCATTCACTTCCTTCCCTCTGCTTGCCACCCCCGACAACCGCGAATCTGTTCTCAGTCTCTGTAATGTGTCATTACAGAAATATTACAGACATGGAATCCTATGACATGTAACCTTCTGAGATGAGATTTTTTTTCACTTAGTGCAGTTCCCTTGTGTTTTAGACCACTCAGACTGCTGTAACAAAACACCATAGACCGGGTGGCTGATAAACAACAGAAATGTATTTCTCAGAGTTCTGGAGGTTGCAAGTCCAAGGCCACTGTGCCAGGTTCTGTGCTGAGAGGCTGCTTCCTGGGTCATCTAAGGCTGTCTTCTCGCTCTAACCTCACATGGCAGAAGGGGCAAGGAGCTTTCTCATACCTCTTTTATAAGGGCACTTATCTCATCCATGAAGACTCCACCCTCATGACTTAATCACCCCCAAAGGCTCCATCTCCCAACACCATCACATTTGGCATTAGGTTTGAACATGTGAATTTTGAGGGTACACAACATTCAGATCATAGCACTTGAGATCTGTTCAAGATGTCGCATGTATCAGTAGTTTGTTCCGATTTATTGCTGAGTAGTATTCCATGGTGTGCCTGTATCACAATTTTCAAGTATTTGCCTATTGAAGGACATTTGGGTTATATCCAATTTAGAGCTATTACAGATCAAGCCATTAGGATCATTTGGGTACAAGTTAATTTTTCTGGGATAAATGCTTAGGAGTGGAATTGCTGGGTCAGATGGTAAGGGCATGTTTAATTTTGCAAGAAAGTGCCATCCCCTTTTCCAGAGTGGCTGTACCACTTTATATGCCTTCCCATTAGCATTGCATAAATGATCCAGTTTCTCCATATCCTCATCAGCATTTGGTATTCTCACTCTTTCTTATTTTTAGCCATTCTGATAAATGTATAGTTTAATTTGTATTTCTTTAATGACCAGAGAGGCTGAACATCTTTTCGTGTGTTTATTAGTTGTCTGTCTAGCTGCAGTGCCTTTTCATGCCTATTTTCTTATTGAGTTTTTTGAGTTCTTTTTGCACTCTAGATACTAGTCCTTTGATGGAGGGTTTGTAGCTCTTTTCTCCCAGTCTGTAGCTTTTGTTTTTCTCTTCTTAGCAGCATCTGTTGCAAGAGCACAAGTTTTTACTTTTGATACGATTCAGTTTATTAGTGTTTCCTTTTATGGATTATGCTTTTGGCTTCAACTCTACTGCTTTACCCAGCTGTAGGTCCTAAAGATTCGCTTTTTTTTTTTCTCCTACAGGTTTTATAATACTGTATTTTATAGTTGTCAGTCATCCGTTTTGAAATAATTTTTATATGAGATACAAGTTTCGGTCAACGTGTTTTCTTTTCTTTCTGCATATAGATGCCCTAGATAGTGATTTGGAAAGCTTCAATGCCTTCTCACCTTGAATGCACACTGATTCCAACAGGAAGGGTGATGGATGGTTCAAAACCTACTCAAAGTTAATCCCTCTAGTTTCTAAGATGTAGAATAAGGGGAGCCCCTTCAATAGAGAATGAAAGAGGAAACTGTTCTGGAAGAACATCACCATTTTTTTTTCAGCTCAGAAATGTAAAATTTAATTGTCATGCTTGCCTTGACCTCTTGTGACAAGTATTCTAACAATGAAAAGGAAAACATCCAAAAATTCAGTATGACCTTACAAGCATAAGGGTAACAGGCCAAGAACAAACATCAGTGATGCTGTTCCAACAGCACGCTAACAGGATTAGTTATAGGAACTGAGAGACGGAGAGAGAGAACAGACAAATCTGTAGTTTAGTTGTTACCGTGCATTGGTGGCCAAAAATGGTCAAGCTGTTAAAAGCAAAAGGGAAACCAGAAAACCCTCCAGTATCAGAAAAGAGGCAACCGGGGCGCCTGGGTGGCTCAGTGGGTTAAAGCCTCTGCCTTCGGCTCAGGTCATGATCCCAGGGTCCTGGGATCGAGCCCCACATTGGGCTCTTTGCTCGGCGGGGAGCCTGCTTCCTCCTCTCTCTCTGCCTGCCTCTCTGCCTACTTGTGATCTCTGTCTGTCAAATAAATAAAAATAAATAAAATCTTAAAAAAAAAAAAAAAAAAGAAAAGAGGCAACCAATGCTAATACTCTTTTCAAATGCTTTCTGACTAAACGGTGGAATTACCATAATATGGAGTTACCAACAGGACCTACTTGAAAGTCGGTTTCTGACAACACAGGGCTGATTTCCCTGGAGCAGTGTGCATAAGGGCAGTCCAAGCAAGATTGCTGCAGCAGAATGTCAAGTCAGACCAAGGGTAAGGCTGAGCTGATGAAATCACACTGCCTTACGTCAATCTCTACTGGTGTGCAGAGGAGATCAAAAGAAGATTTGTCCTTATTTCTACCTGTTACCATAATATGTATCTGAAACCCCAAAAATTGCTTTTAAACTCTGTTCCCCTCTCTTCATCCTTTTTTCCTTCCATGTCATTAAATAGCCTCTATTTCTTCGGTGTACTTTTTTTACCATGTGGTTTCGTGAACATTGTATGCCTCACATGTTTGGTAAATAATCCTTTATCTACCTCCTTTGCTGAGGTTCTTCTCCCTCTCTCCTAATTTAACACCGAAGCAAAGTTAAGTTTAAAAGAGCCCATTTTAATAATTTTTGGACTGAAATTAGTGATTTGAGGATCACCGAATACTTCCTTTCTTATAATTTATCTTGAAATATGCTGATGTGACTCTAAATAGAAGGGTGAATTAGCTTCACTACTAGATAGGTTTATTTTGCATAAGTGCTTAAGAGTTTTCAGGATCTCCTGGCCTGGCCCACCTTGTTTTCAGGATCTTTGGTGTTGTTTTATACCAGTTGTCTATTCCGGA